TAATATCATCATTGCTATTAGTACGTGTTTCTGAAGTATTAAATATTTCACAACTTGTGTGTTTTAATAATTATTTGATATGTGGGAATCGGCGGTTTTCTTATAAAGTTAACAAACACTTTTAAGGTTCGTGTGTACTGTTGAACTTGACTAATTAAAGCTGAAAAAATATGCCAATATGCCTTGCGATACTATTCTTTAAAACACAAAATCGAATCGCCCGTATTTGCACCTAGAGAAACATTCTAGGGCGTTTGTTGATTTCAACTGGTATCGGAAAATCTGTCAAAATAGAAAGATTATTGACATGGACACGCACTTTTGGTAGTTATTTAGTGCCTTGTTTTACCGTGATGAAATGACAATTTAAAAGCTCTGTATTGTGGACTGTCAGCTGTTGTAACACACAGATTTACTTAATGCTTATTTAACGTTATCTACTGCTGCGCTATCCGTCCAGACTTCTCTTTTAAGATTGATTTATTGTCTTTTTGACGGATACAGCTGTAGTTACTGACTTTTATCCACCTAAAGAATCATTGTTCTGGGATTTGTCAAACATTGATCGAAACAGTGGAGAATACCTTTATGTGTCCCTCTTTTTTAATTTGTTCCCCAGATACTAAACCATCTTGAAATGCTAATAAGTTCAATTAAATTATTTCCATTTCCAACTCGATCCACACTGACTTTTTTTTTTCGAGAAGTCTTGAAAAGGTAAATGTATTTTTGTAAAGTGCTCGGTATATCTCTATGTAAATAGACTTCCATAACAGCAAATGATGGTTCAACATGTCAATCCATTAAATCCTTGCATCTAGATTTCTGTTAACTTTTATTCAATTAAGCCAACATCTTCAGTACTTCAATGAAACCTTTCGCCAAGCACTATTATAGAAGATAAACGATACGACCCATTTTCAACTAAGAACAAATTAAACCATGTCCGAGTGTGGCTATATTTAATCCGAGTTTTTGTTTTTTAGCATTTGCGATTTTCGAACATATAATTAACCGTCCTATAACGGATATACTTTTAGCGCGTGCACGTTTAATTGTCAGCATTTTAATATGTAGGTTAAGTTAACTTTCTGTTCCGAACTATGTCAATTCAGGTTGAATAGTTCTGGAAGTTCTGTGTGGAAATAAGATACACTAGTTTGTTTATGCCACATATCGTCAACACGAATAACTAGAATGTACGTATTGTTACTATTTTAGTTTGACGCGAGTTACTTCAACGGGTTCCCTACCGGTACATCTTCTAACCTATTCAAATGATTAAACCTGTTTTGGCTTCTGTGTTAATTACTGATGCTGAAGCCGTGTGTGTTGGTTTCCTCCAACATATTTTAACATATCAATTTAAAGAAGGAATACATAGAAAATATAAGATCTGCATAGGTAACGTTTAGTTCATTTGCTAAACCACCGAAATAAACGAAGCGTTGCTTCAGTAGCTTTACCAATAATTGATTGATGTTAACTAAACTAAGAAACGAAACTATATTTAATGAATTATAACGATTATATTCAATATCACTAATAAAACTTATGAACAAAACATACTCGCTGTCTTCTGGCTCTTCCATAAGGACATTTGACACTACAATTTTGTAGTGTACACCTCTTTCCTCTTTTCGTAAACAAAATATAGCTTTAAGCCAAATATGAAAAACATCCATCAAAATATGAAATGAAATGGGGTTGAACGTCCTACTCTGACTGGGAGAGAGAGAAAAATGGGGTTTAACGTCCGCTCGACACAGACTAGGTCATTTCGGGACTAACATATGGTTTAATATTATTTCAACAATTCGCTTGCGCGTAGGGGTCTTCAGCAATGGGAGGAAACCGGAGGACCCGGAGAAAACCCACGAGATTGGACAGGCAATCCTACTCCTTGTCACGTACAACCGGGGATTCGAAACCACGCCAGTTGACTCGATGACAGGCCTTGTGGTACAGCGCCCACGTGCTAATCATTCGGCCATCCACCCCCCCCCCCCTCCTCTGACTGGGCTAATGAAGACTGTTGCTCGAACGACTATAGTGTCAACGTCTTACTTACTGAGTCACCGCGGCGCCCACACATTAAAAAACTATAGCCTTTATCGCAACATGAATGCGGAACGTTGAATATCGATAGGGTTCATCCTCTCATCCTACAAAAATTTGTTAAACACTACAGCCATATCGTGTTCACAAGAGAGAATTGACACCGGAATGGAAAGTCACAGAACGCTTAATATCGATCGGGTTCATCCTCTTTTGACCCCAATGTTTCCCACCAAAGAAATCCTTTAAAAAAATTTAGCTTCTATGCGTTCATATCGCAGATCATTGAATATCGATAGGGTTCGTCATCTCATGACCAAATTTGAAAAAAGGAACCTACAGCATCAATCGCGTTCACAAGGTTTTCGATTTGAAGATATATCCGTGGTTACTATGAAAGTTGGAGTACAGACTACGTCTTTGGTTTCTAACTTATTAAAATACATGTATTTGTTATCAGGACCACCAGTATTTTCTTTTTCTCTGCTAGGTTTGGCGGCCTTTGGAACAGTTGGACCATGAAAAGAAAAATTTATCAAACATTTTCTATTTATTTTGCTGGAACTATAATCGTGTATCCTATCATCTTGTACGATATGGGGAAAGTATATTCTATATGATTTTATACTGTGATGTTTTTCACCACAAGAGTTCGACAAGATATTGGACATAGAAAAAAGATCCATACCCTGTGGAACTCATCTGTTGAAAATTCTACACAAAAGCCCCTAAACCTTGCCATAAATGTGGAGGTAGGGCACGAGTTGTGCATATGTGAGAATCAATGTGGTCGCGAATGTCAACGATGCTGAATATTTTAACGCTAAGGGTGGCGTTTAACGTCCATTCGACATTTTGGGACTAACACAGTTCAATTTTATTTCAGCCATACGCTGAGTTTACCCATACGTATATGTTAAGTCATGTTGAATTAAATGTAAAAACATTAAAGCTCTTTATTTCTGTCGACTGTTTTTAGATTCCGTTTTTAACGATGATAAAATCTATGTTTGTCTAATATCCTGCCTTTTTAACAATAATTTCATTTATATAACTATTTTCAAATTAATAAAATAACTTTAAACCACGCTATCTGAACCATCTCCCCTAGTTGTATTCGTCTCGGGGAGATACATTTCATCGCATTAGCTATACATCGCAAAACCGAGGGTTTTTTTATTATTATTATTTTGTCCTCCTTTTAACCAGATGCGCAACATAACAATATCCAAAATAAATATAAGTAGAGGGACGCTAGTTAAATAGATTGGAAATGTATCGATAAAACTGCTTTGGGCTTTGAAGAAATTGGTCAAACTTTCGAGCTTATCGGATTAAACTAGTTTGGGTCATATTTCATTTATTTTTTTAAACATAATTTCGAATGATTTTATTTAACCGACAAAACCAAACACAGCTTGCTTGTTTTTATTTACTGCCGAAAAAGGCTTAACAGTAGCACCAGTGAATAACATTAAGTTATTTTCGCGGCCATCTTGGATTTACAATCAACTCATTTGTCACAAAAATATAACTCGGATTCATCATATTCATTTTTCTATTTTTAAAGATCAGAAGGATGTTGAGGGTCTTGGGTTGTTTCAAGATAAATATTTCATTGTTCCTGCTTTATAAGGTTTCTAATAACACAGTTGTCAATATGTTGGACCCAACGTTATAGCTGTCTCGTCAAAGAACTTGGTATTTATTAACCCAGAGGCAATAAAACATACACGAACACAAACTTTGCCAAATCACTCAAGGAATTAATTCTAGCGAAAATTATGTATATTTTCCTATTCTATTTTGGATTTATTTTAAAATTACATAAAACCCTAGAAAACAGCACAGGATAGTTCGACCATCAATCTTGTCCACAGAACCCTTTTCGAACTAGAACGGAGTGTTTCCAGAAATTATGTGATATATACATTATACGATGACAGACTAATGTAGATTCAGAAAAATGCAAGAACGTTTAGAAAATCACAATGTTTCACGACCATTCTGGTGCCAGACAGAAGTACAATTGAGGAGAACATAAACGAGAAAAATGGAATTCCTCATTAACAGATTATATGTAGAATTGGAAGTATTTCTTTGCTGATTTATTTCTAAACTCCGATTTCAAACAGGATCTCTCCAAGAAAAAGGAAAATCTTGCTAGGAAATTCAAGCAGTTATATTGATGAAGTCCTTTCATTAAAAATCTGTTATACACAATTGACAAACCCGAAACTAAACCAAAAGGGATGATTTTATGTTCTCAATCGTTAATTATGTGCTCGTGTGCAGTAATAGACCCAATCGGTTCAGTTATATAGTTTCTCAGTTGAATAGTTATGTAGTTCACTTTATGACAAATGCTTATTGGCAAAATTATTGAGATAATGAAGCTTAACTGTTCGGGTGTCGCGCGCGTGGCAGGGCATACTTACTCTTCTGGATTACCTGATACTACTTCGCTATTAATGCTTTTACATGTATTACATTTTGATATGGAGTCCACATTCTTTCGATGTTTGCCTACAATGTTTATAGGATTGTTGAATTTGAATACTCCACACCCTAACCCCCAGCATCCACGCTCGTGTTGCATACGGTGTTTTGTGCAGTAAAAAAATTGCTATGTGGTTATCAGAAATTTCCAGCTAATAACAGGTTCTTATTTTTGGGTAAGTTGGGTGGCCAATTGGTATTAAGCGTGCATATTAGATGGTGCACTCTAATAACACACAACACAATTTTGATTGAACCGATAGTAGTATTTTTTTTTTCTTTTCTACATAATACAAGAAACAAGTCCATTTGTGTAATAACGTGATATTAATGTCACGATTCTGCGCGACCAAATTAATATTTTCACACATTGGAGTAGTGTGTGTGGGGGGGGGGGGGGTGGAGAAAGAAGATGGCGTTGGAAAAAAAAACTTGTAAGAGCACACGCTACTAATTTATATTGAAGTGTCCAATAACAAATGGACAAAATTATATGTTAACCGACCAGTTTTCAATTAAAGCTACCACTATAAAGTGTTTCTATATATATATCTCATTTTCGGCTCCCAAAGAATATTGATTACCATCCGTGGGCTGATATAAGACGTTGTGCACGCGCAACGACGTCATTACTGTAGTCATTTCCTGTTGTACCAATGTCCATACGAGCTACAGTAGCTACGTTACCAACTCCAGCATTGTAAGCAGAAACACCACCTAAACGAGAATTTGGAAAGAAATGGTTTTTTTTAAAAAATAATATACAATCGTGCTCCAAAGCATCGATAAATCAATTTGCTTTTGTCTAAGCAAACAATGTCCATCATGGAATTCATTTACGACTTTCACCAAATGGTCAACAACTCAACACCATACAGTGAGTACAAGTTGAGTATTATTCTTAAACAAATCTAACAATCCCCGAATATTTGATCAATATCGGTTCTGGACTTAACCCTGCAGGCAAGTGGTTAAAATTCTGGACATGGAAGACAACATGAACATGTGGGCTAATAAAACAAATGACATAAATAGGACTTTTGTTCCCAAATTCATGCATGTGTTAGTTCCATGCATGCACTCACGTACTATAGAAGAACCGTTGTAAATCAATATAATGAAATGGGGGTTTAATGTCCTACTTGTATGCACCTAGCGGGTTATTCTAGCTATCAAGAGTACTTTTACGTGCGCACCACTGACAATGCTTAAAAATCCTGAGGAACTTTCTCGGCAAACACCAGGATCGAACCCGGACATTATAGTCATGGAACCGGCAACTTTCTCGCCGAACCTTTTAAGGCGTGTGTGTGTGGGGGGGGGGGGGGGTCTAATGGTGTAACTATAAGGTCTGTCATTGCGTCAAGTGGCTCCAGAAAATTCAATAGAATTTTAGTATAACTGGAATGGCTCAAAATACTATTTAAAACGACAGTGTTCCTTTAACATGATTGTAAATTATAATTCGACAGAAGCCCTCTAAACATCATTTACACTAGTCTCGATCATTCCAGCCTATATTGTATCTACTTTGACAAGAACGATAATTCGTCTGGACAAAATTGCATCCGTTCTGTCTATTTTAACAGATGGCTGCCCGGGCAAACAGTTCACACAATGAGTTATAGAATATGGCCCAACTTACCAGTTAACAATGTGGTATTTGCATATTCAAATACATATTTCCTCTCCGTCAATCATAAAACATAGTCGAAATCGAGACAATAAAAGATTGAAATTTCCGAATGAACATAATATCAGACATAGAAAATCTAAAGTAAATAACATACCTTGCATTTGTTGCTCAGCAGACCATGTCGGGTGCTTACTTCTAATTTGTTTAATAAATGGTACCAAAATAACACGCGTCATCATGTCAATGTGTGCACAACTGTCCCAACCAAATTGTGTACATTGAGAACCAAGTCCAGACGCATGCAAATCACACTGAAATAAACGTGAATTAGATATGATATGATAAATTCTGCAAGGTTTCCAACATACATGTATTTTGACACATACATATAAAATGCCCCTCTATCGTTATAGTTGGAATTTGGAACTACTTGAATACAAAAAACACGGAATAAAGTGCATTCAAATTATTTATACAGCGAACAGATTAAACATCATAATTTGAGGTGACAGAATTTTTATGCTGTGCCAATAATCAAAGAGATCAAGATATGACGGTTAAGACATTAAATGAGGCTTAACGCCTTACTTTACTACATCAACAGGGCTAATGAGGAATGACATACACCAGAAAGTGTGCTGTGGGGAATCTTGAAAACTATTGATAGATATACTATTCAAAAAAAGTAGGGGATATTTGATTTTGGGGGCATAATACTAAAATATGCAAATGACTACGAAAAAAGTCACTATAGAATCTAACAGAAGAAACATTTCCAGTTACATGTGACGCCCAAACGCACCAATAGCTACCGCATGGAATGCAGGTGATGCTTGGGATCATCATGGGGGTCCAACCCAAGATTTGCACGACTCTGACTTTAAATGTTACAGTCATTGTGGCATTGAATTCCAGGGTGGAAACATCAGTTTAATTGTTTTAGTGACCAGAAAACAAATTTTGATATGCGTCGGCTTACCCAAAATGAAAGGTTACGTGCCCTTGGCATGCTACAGATCGGCACAACACAGGCGGTTGTGGCGCGGACGATGAATGTTTCTCAGTCTGTCATAAGCAGGCTATGGTCCAGATACCGTGATACACAATCTGTACAGGACAGACCACGCTCAGGTCGACCAAGGGCGACAACTCAAGGCCAGGATCGATTTATCCGTACCTTGGCCTTGAGAAATCGTGTCATCACAGCAAATCAGATCAGCGCTCGTCTTCAAACAGACACTGGTTTGAGAGTGAGTGGCCAGACGATTCGGAATCGACTGCATAGGGGTCACCTTCGCGCCCGACGTCCTCGCGTGATCCCTTGTTTGAGAGATCATCACATTCAGGCAAGACGTCGTTGGTGTAGGGATCGTCAACACTGGGATAATCGACGCTGAAGCAATGTGATGTTTTCAGATGAGTCAAGGTTCACTGTTGATTTTTTGGACAGACGTAGGAGGGTGTGGCGTCGTCGAAACGAGCGCTTCCAAGACGTTAACGTCATCAGACATGATCGATTTGGGGGTGGTTCTGTTCCTGGAAGAACGGCTTTACATGTTGTTGCAGGGCGTGTTACAGGCCAGTACTACCGGGACAAGATCTTGGCAGTCCATGTTGTGCCGTTCGCACGACGTCATGGCCGCCGTTTCATCTTCCAGGATGACAACGCAAGATGTCACAGGGCCAGGATCGTTACAGGTTACCTCTAACAACAGAACATCACCACATTACCTTGGCCAGCACTGAGTCCCGACCTCTCCCCCATCGAGCATGTCTGGGACATGCTAGGACAGAGGTTACGTCAACGTCAACAACGTCCTGCCAATGTCCAAGAACTTGCTGCTGCGTTGCAACAGGAATGGGACAATCTGGACCAAAATGACCTTAGACGTCTCATTAGGAGTATGCCACGTCGGATCAATGCTTGTTTGGCAAACAGGAGGATTTACCCGTTACTGACTTGGTTGTGATGCTGTGGTAACTTTGCTGTTTGACCCCGGGTATCATTTTACCCTTAAAATGGTCAGTCTGTGCCTTACTTAGTCTAACGATCATTTGGAATAAATCGATGAATGTGAACTTCATTTCATTTTGTCATTTGTTTCTTCGTCAGTTTTATTAGGTGACTTTAATAACACTTAAAAATCAAATATCCCCTACTTTTTTTGAATAGTATATAACACAATATTTATATGTACAACCCAAGCCGATAGCTTGCCATTAACCATCACAAACGGCACTCAATGCTATATTTATATATATCCTTCTTCGTGTAGTGTTTAACGTCCGCGTCCACCAAACGTGATATCGCAGACAAGTTGTCTTATTTTTGTTATACTTATAGCTCACTCGCATTGTTCTTTCCTGTGGGAGAAAACAGGAATACCCAGAGTAAACCCAAGAGGTTGAGAAGGCGCCCCAATCTTCAAGCCACATACGCTCTCACCAGGACCGTGAGTCAGTATGGTTAATAGAATAGTTCACTAAAAAATAACCGAACATAATTTTCCAAATGTGTTGTCACGACTAACAATCTAAATATTACTATTAGTTATAACGCATACTTATTACTTAATGTTACTTTCCTGATGCGGTGCGATGATCTTGTCCTGCATGGTTTCAGAATTGCTGTATTGCCCTACATATTTGTTTCGGATACTCTTTAGAAACGCCACCAAGAATTAGTAATTGATCTTCCATAAGTATGTGTGATAGTATATTGCTCTATATCCAGATACTAAATGCCGCTAACGGATTGCTAATTATTCCTGTGTTTCAGATTTGGTAAGATAAGAATGTTTAGGGTGGCATTAGCTGATAAGTCTATAGGCAATATCACGTGCTTTAGAATTTACAAGGCAATGTCGCTAATGCACACCTTTCATGTTCATCCGAACTCTTACTTAACCACTTTAGAAATGTTCAATTCAGTGTAAATATCTGTCGACGCAGAATCACCTAAATTCGAATGTGTTGGGCACCATAACTTTGGGGAGTAAGAGTGTTTGGGTCGATTATAAATGATGTTACAGGACAATATTGGTGCTCGTCACTTCAGTCAGTTATATAGAGGGATTACTCGTGTCTTCCCTTCGTCACTTCCGATAGTTGAAACCTCCATTACGCATCTATTGTAGCAATGATCGTGTTAAAATTATATTTGGAGGGTGTTTAACCAGTTTTTATCACATATGTGATAATGACTGGCGCCAATATTGTCCTTTAAATGGGTGCATAAGTATAGTTGTGTGGCATTGTCGTTCCGGGGTGTCGATTTTCTGGATTGGTCACTTATTATTCACCTAGAATATCATCCTTGTGCGGACTAAAAATTAGAAAAGAAACCTCATCTCTCAACCATCCGTGTTTCGAGATGGTGCTATATCGTTCCATCATATCGGGCCTCAGTAAGCAAAATTGACAACATTTTTCATCAAAACAACGATTGATTATTGTTATTCATAACATTCGGACACATTCAATTACAATTAAGTATATAATCCATAAAATTAACTTATTTTCAACATGATGTAAAATGCGTGGGTTAATATAACAGCTAATATTTAATTACTTTTCTAGAGAGTATAACAGCACTAATTATTTTGAAAGAACTATCTAGAGACCGCATAAGTATAGTCGTGTGGCATTGTAGTTCCTGGTTGTCGATTATCTGGGTTGTCACTTATTATTTGCCCAAAATATTCTCCTTGTGCGGGCTAACAATCAGAAAAGAAACCTCATCTCTCAACCATCCGTGTTTCGAGATAAGAGATGGTGCTATATCGTTCCATCTGGCAAGATTGACAATATTTTTCATGAAAACAACGATTAATTATTATTATTCATAACATTTCTGCCACATTCAATTACAATTACGCATATAATCCATAAAAGTAACTTATTTTCAAGATGCTGCATGCATTAATAATGAAATTAAGTTTACCAGGTAAAACTAAAGGCACCAAATCGTAGCAAAAAACAAACACATCAGTATATCTCAACGCCTTTAGCTACGTTCTCGTAGCTAGGTAACAAAAGTGAACACTCTTTGTCGATTTGAGAGTTTTGTGCCCATATTTTTGAATCCAGTGGTCCCCGAAAGCGTACTCCATACACTGTTGTTAGATACACTTAAATTAGCTAATGTAATCCCAAGCAATAAGAGGAAAAATAATAAGAGCAACGCTACCGTTGCATGATACGTCCACATTACTGCTTTGATTGATATGGTACTTTTTAATATGGTTTGTCGGTATTAGGAATATATTTGCCAAGTTCCTTTCTGGTGGGGGCGGGGCATTCACCAAACCACAAGCGATAATCCTTAGGGTATAAGGAATAAGAATGAAAAGTTTTCAAGATGATTCATTATGAATTGCGCGATCTGTAGGCGACATACAAAGAAAAGGGTATGATTCAGTCCATCGGGGTTGGGCATGTATCAAAAACAATAGAGATCAGCTTTAGGCTATATGGAATAATTAGGCCACATATCAAGACGATCAGTTAAGAATTGCGGTCTTTAGGCGACAAACAGACATATACAAAAATTGGGCATGGCTCTGCCCCTGGGGATCGGGCATTCACCAAATATGTCTTATCCTGACGGTATAAGGAATAAGTATGCAAACTTTCAAGACGATCCGTTAAGAATTGCGGCATGTAGGGGACACACACACACACACACACCCACACACAGACAAGGCCGACGGCAATTTACGCCCACGTTGTGAATTTTGACGTATCCAAAATGCAAAATCCGCTTGGTGGTCTTAAACTTTTGCAAATAACTGTACAAACCTGCATTATGCCCCAGGCTTTGTGGTGATCACCCCAGCCACCCGTGCTATACAGGAGTGCGCCGCCACGAGTTTCTCTACTGGCAATAGCAGCAATAAGAGCTGGGTGAATACCTGTATACAAAAAAATACATACATTGCCACTAATTGCGGATATGCAATTCCTACGCTAAATTAATGTAAGTTATCTAATATGCAATTCCTACGCTAAATTAATGTAAGTTATCTAATAGTTTATAATTATGACATTTATCTCAAGCTCAGGTAATATCTTGGGAAAAATCATCGGCGATGTGGACATACTCCACATTGTTTTCTTTGCGACAAAACTGTTTATGTAAATAATTATTACAGCGTTCTTCAAACAACAAAATACCCGCCTTGTAATTATCTTAAAGATACGTTGGTTTGGTATATAAACGCTCAATCTTTACCCGAGAAAATACCCAACGCGCAAGCACTGGGCAAAAATGTCAGGATATCAATAATTGGCAACCCGACGGCTTATTGAATGCTAGCAGTTGTTATTTCTTGATCGAATGGTAAGGCGGTTTTGAGAACATTGAGAGATGTATACGTATAATAGACGCTGCAATTAAACGGCGAAAAAGAAGTTGAGAGAAAATAATTCAAGAATTTACTTAGGCCTCAATATGTATGGTAATTGACAGTACGTAATGACAAATACATTCTGAAAATGGACTCTCCTTCAAGCAAGTTAAGTGACAAACATGGCTTCTAAAACAATTTTTTTATATAGCTCGGAGTATCTCCCCGCGAATTCAAAGTTTTGAGAGGGATTTGTGTACCACTACCGCTGCAGCGTATCTTTGTGTTGGACTGATCGTCTACGGGTTGCTTTGACACTGGAATGGCCACTGTTGTATCTCTCTTCTTTAGGCCTTCTCCGTTGTCTTTTCTTTCTTACGATGACAGGAACACATATTTTTTTCTATACGTTTATACTCTTCAAAAAAAAGTAGTAGGGGATATTCAGAAACAACACAAAACTGCGGAAATGCACTGCTGTTTTTATTAGAGGTAACGATTGTATGTTAATAATAGGCCAATTGCCTACAGCTGAACATAAACAGTTCATATGGGCGGCTTATCTGACGGCCCCATTTCACTCGCAAAGAGATACACTGTCAAAAGTGAAAATGGACGTTTTTGATTTTTGTCTTAATAATGAGTAATTGCTCCACCAATCCTCAGACATTCAGCAATTCGTCGCGGCAAGCTCCTAATCAACCGTCCAATCAGGATTTGAGGCAATCTAACCCACTCCTCTTGCAGTGCTACGGCCAATTCTTGCAGTGTTGTCAGTTGACGTTGATGAACACGTCTCCCGATCATGTCCCAGGCATGCTCTATAGGGGAATAGTCAGGACTCATGGCTGGCCAAGGCATATGGACGATATGGTGACGCTGGAGGTAGTTATTCACGACACGAGCGCGGTGGACACGGACATTATCATCTTGAAAGATGAAACATCGACCTGCACGTTGAGCAAAGGGCAGAACTATCGGTGCCAGTATGTGGTCACGGTAGTACACATAAGTCACCCTTCCTTGAACAATATGCAAGTCCGTTCTGCCAGTCATGGTGATTCCTCCCCACACCATAACAGACCTACGCCCGAATCTGTCATGCTGTCTGGCGTTAACGTTAGCATGACGCTAATTTACACGTTTCCAAACGCGATCACGCCTATCGGTGAAACCCAGAGTAAATCTAGACTGATTTGAGAACATTACACGCGCCCATCGACGATTACCCCAATTTCTACGCTGCCTACACCATTGACGCCTATTTACCCTATGTGCGTCGCGCATGCAAATAGGCTGCATGTAGCCGATTTGTAATCGTTTGGGGTGTAACTCGAATTCCTATAACTTGGTACAAGTTTACAGAAAGCTGATTGGCCGTTTGTCCTCGATTTCGCAGGACCTATGTACGAATGTATCGATCCTGGGCTTGTGTAGTGGCTCTAGGACGACCTGAACGAGGTCTATCATCAGCATTGTGTGTTTGTTGGTACCGGTTCCTGCACAGTCTGCTGATCACAGACTGTGACACATTAAGCATGTTGGCTACTGTTCGCTGTTTAGAGCCCAATAGCACGTAGACGTTCATCATGTTGAAGAAGTCTCATTGCAATATAAACGTAACACACTAAAGCAAATATATGCTAAACAGTAAATCTTATGCAAGAACCGATAGGAAAGCAAACATGGATAGGATAAACCAGCACGCGACAGTTTTCATAAACTCTTCCTTGATGTGTCAAATTTGACAATGAACCCCTCCCACGTGTATGGCGCTTTTGGGTGTCGCACGTGCAGCTCAATGGTTCTGTTGGGGCGATGAGTTCTTCATCTGTGAACATTCTCTCAAAGCATGTCATGCGTCCATTACTATTTATTATATCACAACTTGCATAGGTATTTGCATTTCAATATCCCCTACTTTTGTTTGAAGAGTATATGTCACAACAGTTAAACAAGTCTACATTACAATATTTAAAATTAACATGTCTTTCTCTCCAACCCCACTGGTTCCTACTCCTGGAAAAGTGTAACCAACTTGGTTAGACTCGGGATACCACAACACCATGAAATAGTCGTCTAAAAAATCCAATGATGTCTAACTATTCTAGCCTTCACCCCCTCTTGTCTTGTATAGGTGTCTATTCTTTTGTCTATTGTATTTACGTAAAAGACTGATAGCAGCTAAATTCCAAATATGGAGTGGATATGCACCATGCCCTGGATATCGACAGGGATTGTTACCTAATTTGGTCAACAAATATGATATGTGTTTTAAAACAAAGAAACATGTAATGTATCAAAACAACCAGCATACTTTCTATATCTTTGGTTATGAACTTAGAATCAGTAAATTGTAAATATAACAATATTGTTTCAGCCATCATGTTTCTCCATTGCTATGAATTTGAAAATGTCGCCACGACCATATTGTTACATTTGAAGCAAATTAGTTTGAATATGTTTTAGTCCAGACATGTCATTATTAAAATAATGGATTGCATTAGAGTCAACTATACTGTATCTTTTCTGTATTAAGCGAACAGTATCGATAAACATATTTGGCCAAACTACCGCGGTGATTCTTGCTGTATTGTGAAGATCAATGGATGGCATGTCAATATAGAAGCTTGTGTAATTAATATTGGGTTTGCTTTTGAATAAGCTTTTGGTGATAGTTTGGTACAATTCCCCCCTGTGCATGTGTTGTGACAGGCTGTATGCAAGCTATGAGAATGCAAGCGTCGGGCTTCAAATTTCATTTCATATTAATAAGATTTATTGGAAAAAATAATTCATCATTACGCATAACGTATCATTCAAATCAAAAATGTGTTCCCTAGAACATGATTAGGTCATTTACTCGAGGATCTCTAAAGATATTCATTTGTAATAACTAGGAAAAATCATATTACAGACTAAAATTGATTTATAAATCCACCGGTGCCAACTTGGATTAAGGCGACTGCGTTCAAACTAATTAAAAGCCATCCTATATCTGTTAGTTTTTTTATGTTTTCAAACAGACGCTTATATCGTAAATTCTCATAGAAAACTGAAAGACACTTACAGTTGTTATTTCCAGCCTGTAAATAGCACGATTTTCTTTTGTTCAACTCTCGTAAATCAGTTTCAACCATTGTGTAAGACGCCTGTACACCTACAAATGTTTAAATAATGAGAGAACTTTATTGGAAGATATTTAATTAAAAAAATATTTTACTACAACCATTGATCATCGTGTGTTCTGACTCTGTTTCTGTGCTTCTCTTGCACTCATCCTCGACGTCTTGCTCCCTCGAATTCTTCACTTCAACAGTCAAGATTTGCAAAATGGCACCAAACTGTTATTGGTTTGGTTAATGATTAAAGGGACGCAACCCTAAATATACATATGCAATATTCACGCAATTCCATCAGATATTTGTCATTAGAAATAGTATGTTAATGTACAGTTCATGTATCTAGTTGACGATAAGGTAACTGCCCGTTATGTGGCGCTTTGAAGGGAACTAGTCACAATTTACATATAAAGAAGTCGGTATATTACCCCTAAAACAACGTCGTGAAAGACAAGTTGATATTTCTATATAAAATAATAAATCACTTAACCCCTGATTACCTTTATGATAATTTAAACAATAAAAAAAAGTAAATATTCATTAAGAAACGATAAAATCCTTCCATATTATTTTTGTAAAACTAATCTATTTTATAATTCTTTCATTCCTTCAACTACGCGACTTTGGAATAATCTAGATCTTTCTATACGTAATTCAGATACGTTATTCACTTTTAAACAAAAACCCTCAAAAAATGATCACTCTGTACCTTCTTGTAACAATATTGGTAAAAGAAAAGTTCAAACCCCCCATTCAAAACTTCGTTTATCAAACACATAACCGACTCCCCAACCTTCCGATGTGGACACGAAATTTCTATTGCATGGTTCTACGGACATTTCACTTGAAAAAAAAACTAAAATAATATTTTCTGAGATGCAACATCAAACATTATGTATATCAAAAAACATCTTTATTTATAGAAAAAAATACCATTGTATCCTTTCACAATTGTATTAATTAATAACACAACATGAATAATTTCGACTTTATTGTAATCATGTTGATTTGTTGAAGAGAGAGGGGTGATATAGGCCTAGCCTGTCTCCCAATCCTATTTCTATTTTATAATATATAGTAATCTGCCCGTTAATTATCTATAAAAAGAAACAAAATATACCCCACAAAGGACATAATTTGTTAGGTATGAATAGCACATACCGATGAACACGAGTTGATTAATACAGGCGTTCATTGGTTTCGTATTGCCAAAACGGTTAAATGCCAACAATGCGTGTCTTTGGTTGAGATGGAAGGCTTGGTTGCAACGAAAATCTACCCTGTCAACGTCTAAATCGTAAAGGATCCTACAAAATACAACTCAAAAGAATCCACGAAGAAATTTAGCCCGTGACTACGGGTCGACAATTGCATGGTTTCGCTACTTTCGATGCCGTATCTCGTGGAAATTGTTTTTTGATCAACGTTTAAAACGATAGCGATTACCTCTCCGTGGATTGCCTTTGACCTACAAAGTGTTATTTTAATATAATTAAAATATATTTTGGTAATGAACGAGTACTACCGAATGCATCAATCTGGATTAAGGAGTTGCCTCCCTCCGTATTGGCGTCGTGAATCCAACGCAGAACGCGTTGTTGGTGGCATTCTGCAAAATTATCTTTAAAATGGCTAGCAAAGCTTCTAAGAGGAAAACAACAAAAACTACAGGTTTGTTAGAACTCCCTGACTCCGACGACGAAAAGAATACATCTGTGATATTTCGTTGACATTACTAGTCAAGCTAGATAATCCCTAATCAATCTTACCATTATTTTTCAGTTATCACAGGTTAAGATATAGTTCTTTATTTAATGTTGGACAATTATAATAAGTATTTTGTATAAAACTTGGTTTGGTATAAATGGGTCTTGGTTTGACACCATCGTCAGTCAAGCTTTCACTACGAGAACCTCTTGTATATTAGTTTTGTGACTGCTAGAATAAAATGTTGTTGAATCCAGTTCGTATTTGATTTCTATAAACTCAAACTAGGGTATATACTGTCGAGTGAGGGCAAGCAAATTGCACTACCTTCGGTACCGTTTCTTGGTAGGAAAGTATCGGATCTTCACCAAAATCGATAGGGCCTATACAATAAATTTAAATAAAAATACCTGTCTAGGGTGCATATAAAAAGCGATTGTTGACATGGGAATTAAAGACAAAGTTCCTGTGAATCATTTAATTGCTAGTTACTCTCAATCGTTCTAACATACTAATTACAGAGGCATCGGACTGAAAAATTATTTCGTTTCAGTAAATCGAAACGTACATTTCTGATTTTCTTGTACCAAACCTTCAATTTCGATCGAAAAGAACCCCATTGACATATATGTCCTTTTCGCAAAACGAACCCGCCGTTATTCGGGTACAAAATACAGGTAATTACCTCCATGCGTGATGCGATCCTGAGATGCAGTACCTGCGCTGGCTCCAGTGGGATGAATTGCCATAACATTGCCATAGCAATTATATCCAGCACCTGAAATATATTACACACAAATAATAAATACGTTTTCTGTTGTTACTGGTATTTTTTGCTAATTTAGTTGGTTGTGTGCCCCAGTTTTGCGTCAAGAGTAATTTAGGTCAAGAGAATGTATGGATTTTAATATTGTCATAATGTTCTGTTTTCGTTATCTACTCAGAATTGTGCTGGCTAAAATTTGGGCCTCAGTCATAAAATACTTTGTACAAAGTTGATAACGGGTGTTAAATAGTTCTTTCTTGACATATTTGAAATAATGCTGGTAGGATTGTAAATCCGACAAACGCAATTCTAACTCAACCGTCATTAGTGTGGAACGGGATACATTTAAGCGTTTTTCAAAAATTTTGACCTCTAGGGGCTATAATCCAGGGAGTTAAGGTCCGATATGCGGAAATATCAAAAGGAACCACGATCTTTGAATTATAATCATGCATTGCATGTTTCATCAAGATCGGATAAACATTGTGACTTCTAGAGTGTCCACAACCTTGATATTACATACATTTACAATATTTCCGCACAAGGAACGGCCATTTTGTCCGGCAGTTTGGATCAGATTTTTACGAAATTCAAACTCAACCTTCATTGATGTGAAACGGTGATATATTTAAACATTTTGAAATTTGAATACCTGGTATAAATTGCGACTTCTAGCCGGTCCACAAGCTAAAAATGCGATTTTTCGAACAATCAGGGGCCATAATTCAGGAAGTTACGATCCGATACGCGCAAATATCGAAAGGAACCAAGTTCCATCAAAATGAGATGGGAATTGTGACCTCTAAAGTGTCCACAGGCTAAAAACGTGATTTTTCGAAAATTCAGGGTCCATAATCCATGAAGTTATGGTACGATACATGCCAATATCGAAAGGAACCGATATCGTTGGGAGATAAACCTATACTTCAAGTTTTGTTAAAATCGGATAAAAATTGTGACCTGTAGGTGTCCACAAACAAATTGTAACGGACAGGGGCGACGGCATAGTACTTCCACATGAAACTGTGGGCGTATAAAAATCACGTTTTCAGAAGATTGATCTCTAACATTGATACCCAATTCCAATTATTACTGAATATTATAGACGTTGGAGACTGTCTTTATGAATTACATGAAAGGGGTTACAGGCTTTCTTCAGATAGATCATTTAACAAAGAACAACTTATCAAACTTAGACTAAAATCTGGAGTTATATCAATTGTCACAAATCCATTTTATTATGTATTGGTCACTGTATTTAGTCGAGAACATTGATTTCATTGCTGCCTGGGTCAACAGATGTTTTCTTCATGTTTCAAATCAAGCAGAATTTCTTTTGATCAACTTAAGTGTTGCTCGTGCTAATGTTTAGTGAAGTATCAGAGGTGCAGATTTAAAGCCTACCACGGGTCGTAGGGTTTGGTAGTAAGCAGATTGTGAGCCAAGCTTTAGGTGGACCGAGACGGAGTAAGATGGATGGGCCAGGGGGTTAAAATGGAATGTGTAAAGTATGTAGGACTGGGATAAGAAGGTCCCGGGGGGGGGGGGGATTACTATGTCTGGATGTCTGGTATTAAAGGTATTGAAGGAAAGTTACGATTCCCCACGGAGAACGGCGGATATAACTAACATTGAAATTTACCTGTTGCAGGTAATATTGACATTCAGGTTCGTGTTATACTTATGGAAAGGATATGTTGACATAATTACTTGCATTATTTAAAAATTTATGTAGCTTTTCCGGTGACCTTTAATGGCTAATGTTGGTAGTTGATAAGAAGGGGTATGGAAGGAGGTGGGGCGGGGCTGATAAGACGAGGTTGTGGAGAATTGTTATGGGCGGGGAGAGAGTGATGATCAGTGCATGTGTACGGGTATAGAAAGGAAGGGGGTATGATGGGAGAGACGACCTGGCGGTGGTCGCGAATGAAAACGGTCTCTGTATACTGTTTACTTTTGTAAACGTTAATTCAATGCAGCAGTAATGCCTCGATTTTGATTCAAGCGTGGTCCTTTAAATAGATATTTTCAAGGGAAATTAATATCCATCTTGCACATACGGATGAATGTACGGATGACCAACTTGGTCAATAATACATAAACTTTGATTCGCTTGATTTGTTTGACCCATGTGGTAAATTTGTATAACGCCTTCATCAAATCATCATACTTCTCTTTTTTTATAAGGAATCTGGTTTGGATATGCTTAAGGAACGTCAATATGTAATATAGACTGGACTGAGGTATCCCATCCTCGTCTATTCCGTAGAAAAAACAACTGCTTTGAATTTTCCATCGTCGTAAGTTTTTCACGATACATCATGGTTAATTAACCTCTTATAAATTTCATCCATTTTATGTATAACTACAGTTACAGCATGTAACAAAGTAATCTATAACTTTTATCAAATTGAACTTGTTGTCCTCCAGCTGTTTTGATAATATATAATATTGACCTTTCAACTCTGTGTGCACTTTTCTTAAGTCACGATTGTCTGTGTTGTAATTAAACATGTAATTAATTCAATATGTCATTTCGGGCGCACATGATCTGTGTGCAACACTCGGCAGGACTTTAAAGGGAATGTACTAGTGGTCAGTGCATCATACCATGACCTGTTAATGGCTTCAAAGGAAATACGCAGTGCAATTACAGATACAATAGTCTGACAAATAAACAATACCATACATGATGATCACTCTTAAAGATACATTATGGGAGATTTTTATAGAGAGTTGGCCATTCTTGCTATAACAGTTCAAAAGTGGATGATGAAAGAAGAATATATTGAAAAATTCAGTCAAATTACTTTATTCTGAACATAGTTATCATCGTTGTAATATTTGACTAAAAATGGTAGCGAAATGCGTTTTCACCTTCGCCGATCGTTTGATTGACAGGCGTTAACTCCACCTACATATCTCGATTATCAAGTAAAGTTTTCAATGGCATACGGAAACGATTTACAGCGGCCTCGCTAAGTACACTCTATCATTTAGCCTCGATCTAACTGACGTATTTTCATCAGGTTACCCCTTATTTGATTTAATCAATTAGTGAAATCCTATTTAAATCCGAGCTGTAGCCGAGCCATCCGTGGGTCTACAGAGTTGATTTTGGTCTTGTTGTTTAAATAAAGATCTAATTTATAATTTCTATAACATCTGAAGCCTAAATTAAGACTTGCAATAATCAGATTTAGCTCTTGCATAATGCATGTTTAACCATTTTCCCGAATTGTCGTACGCAATATAAAAGGAGTTTACAGACAGTTAGGCAGACGACTAGAGACGAGGGGAGACGGAGAGATCGGCGTATGAACTCACCCGAGTTAAGCCGCTGCCTTGGCAGAGGAGCAGAATGGTAGATTTAATATAGTTATATGTGTTCCTGTCGTAGTCTAGTTCCTGATGCAGTCTAGTTCCTGTATATTAGTTTAAGTTCCTGTATTGTTTTGTATGTAGATGTTTTATATTCTGTTCCGATGTAAATAAACCATATATTTACGAAACTGGTCTACTGTTATCACTAAACTAGTGTTACAAGTGTCCCCATCTTCATTCTTTTTTCTATTTACCATTATTTTTATCCGCCCACATTTCCATGTGGACGTATTATGCCGTCGCCCCTGTCCGTCCGGACGTCCGTCCGTCCACAATTGTTTGTGGACTCTCTACAGGTCACAATTCTTATCCGATTTCGACGAAACTTGAAATATAGGTTTATCCACAAAAGATCTCGGCTGCTTTCGATATTGGCATGTATCGGATCGAAACTTCATGGATTATGGCCCCTGTGTGTACGAAAAATCACGTTTTTAGCTTGTGGACCCTATAGAGGTCACAATTTTGATCCGATTTTGTTGAAACTTGAAATGTAAGTTTATAACCCAAAGATCTCGGACCCTTTCGATATTCGCGCATATCGGACCGTAATTTTCTGACTTATGGCCCCTGATTGTACGAAAAATCGCGTTTTTAGCTTCTGGACCCTATAGAGGTCATAATTTTTATCCGATTTAAAAAACCGTATTATTATATCACCGTTACACCCTAAGGACGACTGAGTTTCAATTTCGTGAAAATCGGCCCAAAATTGACAGACAAAATGGCCGCCGTTCGTTCTGGAATATCATAAGAATATGTTATATCAAGGTTGTGGACCCTATAGAGGTCACAATTTTTATCCGATTTTGTTGAAACTTGAAATGTAAGTTTATAACCCAAAGATCTTGGTTCCTTTCGATATACGCACATATCGGACCGTAACTTCCTGAATTATGGCCCCTGATTGTACTAAAATTGCGTTTTTAGCTTGTGGATCCAATAGAGGTCATAATTTTTATCCGATTTAAAAAACCGTATTATTATATCACCGTTACACCCTGAGGACGACTGAGTTCGAATTTCGTGAAAATCGGCCCAAAATTGACAGACAAAATGGCTGCCGTTCGTTCAGTTCCTTTCGATATTTGCACAATTTCCTGAATTATGGCCCTTGATTGTAGGAAAAATCACTTTCTTGTTAGCTTGTTCTCTATTCATCTCTCGAAAATGTGGGCGTATCCTGCCTGGCAGCCGCTGGTTATCTAGTATATTCCAATCTTTAAATCTGATCTATATTTGTGTACGGCCATAAATGTCTTTTTAGTGTCCTTGTGGTGTATAAATACTTGTTTATTTGTTTCTGTACTCTGCTTACTGATCTGAAATCGGCATCTTTTGGTAAAAACGAGTGGCCCGATTCCATAACTTCCATTTATATGGATTCTGAACTACTTATATTTACGGCATAGATCATTAACATAGCAATTAGAAAGTTGCAGTTTTGACCATCACGCGAATATTTTGATAGTCGCAAAAAGTGATCTAATAGACAAGATGCTACCTCCACAGAACCCCATTTACCATAAACCTCAATCCACGTATTCATAAAATCTATATTCTGGGGATATTCATGTGTCCTAAGGTTGACGGTCCGCATCTGCCTAAGATAAAAAAAAAGACTTCAT